GCGGGAGGGGGCGGGGAGCCGGCGGGGGAGGGTCGCCAGGCCGGAGGCGCGGCCGGCAGTGCCGCGGACGAGCCGGCTCTTGCAGGTAGACAGCTAAATAAATAAGTCAGAACAAACTTTGCCTTCTCATCGCCTTACCTTCCTTTGCAGCCTGCGCCTCCCCTGTGTGTGCAAAGCGGAGCAGCCAGATGTAGCACAAAATAATCCATGAAGGGTACCGAGTTTGAAAAACCATGGTGCATGAGCGGGTTTATTTTCTCTTTTTCTTTCTTTCTTTTTCTTTTCTTTTCTTTTCTTTTTTTTTTTCTTTTTTCAGGTTTCAGTTATCTTGAGTCACAGCTTTTTCAATGCTATTTGCTCCGAAGTGGGTTTCTGTTATTCTTATTGCGCTCCTTGCAATCGATTTCCCTTTTCAGTCCCAGCCCGGCTGCTCCACGTTTAGCTTTTTATGTTTCTCCCCCCTCCTGTTCGTTCGCACGGTGTTTGCTGCCTGCAAGTCTCCGACTGCAGACCGGCCGCTTGCTCCACACTCCAATAATATCAATTAGGGGGCGGGGCGGGGCTCCGAATCCAGACCCTCTGCCACTTCGGTTGAGTGGCAGGCGCGGCTAGCCTGTCAGACGGCGATTCCCAGGGCCGAGGGGCGGGACCAGGGCAAGCGGCCGCCTCCGGCTTGGGGGCGGGGCCTGGAGCCGCAGCCAATGAGCTCGGGTCGGAGTCAGGTTGCGGGTGCAGGATTCCCTCCAGGTTCTGAGCCGCTGCTGGGAGCGGGAGGCCGCGGGCGCCAGCGCCGGGCGTGCGGAGGGAGCGCTCCGCTCCTAGCGGCAGCGGCGGCAGCTTTGCGCGGCCGCGTCAGGCCGGAGGACGGGTTGCGACTCGCGCTCCGGTGGGTAGCTTGCTCTCGCCGGGTATCAGAAACCTGCCGCGGAGCGAGCCGTGGCTCAGCTACCAAAGGCCGAGCCGGACGCAAGCGCGAGCTACGACGCCTTTCAAGTGTTCTACTTTTTGTTGCCAAGGTCTCCGCGGGTCGCTCGACTTGCGTTTGGCCTAAAAAAAAAAAAAAAAAAATCCACTTTCTTTTTGTTTTTTTCCTTTCGTGCGTATGTGCGTGTGTGCGTGTGTTTTCTAAAAGAACTGATCTTTAGACATCACTCCATACAAACTCGGGAAGGTTAAGAGTGACCAAATGTGCTATGTTTAAACAATGTTCTCGAGAGTTTGCAACAATCTTTGGCAAAAGAAACAGAAAAAAGAAAGGCGGGACAGAAAGGAAGTCTTTTGTTTAAGGCTCCCGTGCCCGTAGACGTCTCCGGGCGGAATAGCTTGCTCACAGAGCTGGCACTTCGGGAGGGAACCCTCTTCCTGAGATTCTGTACTGATTCTCTCCTGCATTTAGCTTTTTCTAAGTTTTTTCATGGAAAGCCCCTTTCACTCATTTCCCATTTCTCTCCATAAACGACTCAATTTTGAAGAAGGCCACAAAGCATAAAGTCTTAGAGCAAGACCTTTCCTTTTTTCCCAAATATCTTAATTTCAGTAATTATTCCATAATTATTCTGCGATTATTTTTCCAGAGAAACTGAAAATAAAAATGGAACTAAAATTTCCAATTGAATTCATCCAACCTGAACAGAAAGAATAACTGCGTAGCGAAATATGTTTTTTTTATTAGGCAGTTCTGGACACTGCATTAGAGAGGTGGGTAATACAATAAGAGAAAGAATTTTAAAACCTTAATTGCCAAATAATCAGTTTCAAAGGTCACTCAGACTAACTTGATCACGTGTTTAAGATGAACATCTTTTTCTTTTTATTCTATGCCTCTTCCTGTTTTTTGGTATTTTTTTTTTTTTTAATCTGCCATTCTTAATTTGCCTTTATTTCTGGTAGGCAGGAAGTTTGGTCTGGTCTAAGACTTCAGACTGTTCTCATCTGACCTATCTGGAAACATAAAGTAAATTGAGTTCTTTCTGGTATTTATAATAAAGACTTCTCAGAGATGACACCGCCCAGACATTTTAATTTTAATTTATGGTAAAAGCCTATTTGCTTAACACAATTACACAGAAGAGAGAAATGAAATTTCTCCTCTAACCTCGGTGATTCAGTAGAGTCAGTATGCCTATTAAATATTTTAGAAACTACATCTAACAACATCCTAATTGCCCTTTAAAGGATGAATAGAAAATGTAAACTGCTTAATAAATTAATTTTGGAAGGAAACAAAACAATATGGGCAGAACACACTTGTTACAGAGAAAATGAAGCATCGTTTACCTAAATAACTGTAAGGGGAAAACATAAGCTAAATCATTAAAATTAAAAATATAAATCTCTACATACAGGCTTTAAAACTCACTAAACCACAAACACAAATATTAAACGACTTCTAGCCGTCAAAATAAATTCTCCAGGATTTTAACATTTTCCCTTGGGTCTCATCTCCACTTACTAAAATGACACCAATTTTGCCTTTAAAGTTTAAAATATTCCTTTCATCTGTTGCCTGACTAATGGCCAGTGATGTGACTACAAATACTTTTTCCTTAAAATCAGGAAACCAAAGATGCTACATCCTTGTCTCCTCCGATGCCTGTAGGTGGTATGTGGAGTCTCTCTTTGCATCCATCTCTGTCAGACATTGGGGTGTACACAAACTTTTATTCTTGGAGACAAGAGGCTTCGTGTTAACCGTACATGTACTGGCTGCTGACAGTTGTTGCTGCAGAATTGCACAACTGACATTCACTTTTAGGCTTATCCACCTTTTTTTCATCTTGTACTTATTTATGAAGAAGTCACAGAGTTTAAATAAAAAAGTAAATGACAGGGATGAAGAATTTGTTCCTTCTATATTCTACCATACAACACGTTTTAATATGTAAATTTACACTGGAGTACATTTAACTAACAGTGAAGCATATAAACCTAAGTCTGTACAATCACTGAAGTGAAAAGAGGCAACACCAATCTTTCACATTTTAACATAACATAATAATGAATTTCCTAACATCATTTTTCAACTAGTTCATTTCATCTTGGTATCTACGTTTATGCATACTACTTCTAGGGAAAAACTTGAAAAAATACAAATACATAAAATGAATTAGAAAAGAACTCATTTTCTGAGTAATATAAAATGATGTATAAACCAATGCCTATGCACCAAAGCAGAAATTTTGAAGACTATTTTCTTTTTGGTTTTTACGTTTTCCTTGTATAATGTAGTTGATGAAGTATTCGACTTGCAGTTAGAAAAGTTTAAGTAAATGAAAAAAGGATTAAAATTTTAATATTTTTGACTTATAGCCCCTTTAAAACATTGTCACAAATGTGTAGTGGAAGTATAAAGATGGCTGCTTGATTTTATTTGGAAGGAAGACATGCTCAATTGTTATGCATTTGTTGTTACTTTTCTTATATAAGTATCCCTAATCACGCACAACTACACATATATAAAAATGAACACACAAATTCAAGACACATCGTAAATGAACGTATCCCAAGATTTACTTCTGGGTAATATCTTCTCATTTGAAAAGAGAAATAGCTATGTTGGAATACATTATAATAACTTCAGGGAGTAAATTCAAGGCTATGGATTTTCAAGTAAAAGTCTGTGTGCATTTATGTACGTGTGTGTGTGTGTGTGTGTTTCTTTGTGTCTTTGTGTAGGAGTTGAACTTTACAAGCCTTAAGAAAGTAAAGGAACAACTGGAAAATCCAGCATGTTACAAATCCAAGGCTGTCAAACTAAGCGATTGAAAACAACAGCAACCATAACAAAATCAAAGGGCTGATTCTGTACCTTCTACTTTGGCACTGACTGTTTCAACGCCTTCACAGCTGGTCCATGTAAAAAAGCAAGTTCATCACAGAAAAGGGGGTAATTTAAACTGAATTAGAAAAGGTACTGTGTAGAAGAAACTGATTATAAAAAGAAAAGAAGCATTATGTCTCAGTTAATAGATATTACAGAAAATTGGGTTTTCTACTTGTGATTTCAGTTAAAATGTAAACAGCCTTTCCACTGTGCGGGAAAGCCATTTACATATTTACATTAGCATGATTTATGTACTGTATATAAAATATCTATTTTCAGTCCAATGTAAAATTTTACACAGACAAAACTCACAAAAGATATAATAATTCATTTATTCTCCTCAGCTTCAGACTTTTTTTTTGACAGTACAGAAAAAGAGAGGTCAGGAATCAAGTCAAAACCTATGACTGCCTTTTGTGCCTTTCTGCAACTTCACTGGTGTTTGTAAGGCTTGATTTTGGGCAAAGTTGAGAATAGTAGAAATGAATAACTATTTACTACAATTATTGAGTTAGTAAGGCAACAAATAAAATGTAACTTACATTTAAATTGTAAGAGTGTGATTGAATATTACTGTTTCATTAAAACTTTCTGACCACATAAAATATTGAAAAATGTGAAATCAAATGACCTTTATTACAGCAGTATTGAAATAACTTTATATGTATTTAGAGTTCTTAAAAAGTTCTTAAAAATCATTCCAAATATCATATATCATATTTCCCTATTTAGAACCTCAGAATTCTGATGCTTACCTAACAACTGGGGAAAGTTTTTTCTGAAATGTATTTGGCCAACACAGGGACCTTTGAGACTATTAGGTTAATTTGGCTTCTGTAGAATGAAGAAAGTAATGTGGAAATATGATATATGATATTTGGAATGATTTTTAAGAACTTTTTTAAAATTTTGATTTTGCTTGAAGAGATACTTTCTTTTCAAACCTTACCCTCATTTTTTCCATAAGCCATCAATACTAACGAGAAAATATGGCACACGTTATGTAAATCTCTTTTTCATGCTTTCCCAGTTTCACATCATACAGCATTTCAGCTTTGTACCCAGTGGATTTTTAGGTAACAAGAGCTGTGATAAGTCAGTGACCACCAGGGGGCATCAGGACCTCTGGGTGTTCTGGCCAATCACGTCCTCATTGAATAAGGATGAGCTCATTATCAAATTGTGCATATATATATATATATATATATATTACATATATGTAATATATCATATATATTACACATATATGACATGTATCCAAGCAGTGTTTTTGTTTCTTAGCCACTCTCTATGCCTATTCACTAACACCTTTAGAAAACATTACTTTCTTCATTCTACGGAAGCCAAATTAACCTAATAGTCTCAAAGGTCCCTGTGTTGGCCAAATACATTTCAGAAAAAAACTTTCCCCAGTTGTTAGGTAAGCATCAGAATTCTGAGGCTCTAAATAGATACCACAAAATCTTTTTCTTACTCTCTATCTAATTATCCTTAGGTCTTTTACCTTGGCCCGAGAGCCAGGTTGAAATAGGGTATGCACTGGACTGGGTTCTGCAGAAGTGCCAGAGTTCTTAGGAATCTTCCAAATTTCCAACTCTCTGGTTTGAAAAGCATTTTGGAGAGCACTACATATCCTTAATTCCTATGGTTACTGTTACAACTGGAATTCTGTCCAAGTTGT